TAACCCCTAGGTAACCTCATCTTATAATACTAGAAAGCAAGATGAGCCACAAAGTAAAGGGACTCATGAAAAAGCCTCCCAGGCCAAAACAACTTGGGCCTCAATCACCCGGAACGGTCTAAAGACTCCCCCTGCACCTACAAAGCTGCGCAGGCTATGCCAAAGGCGATAAACTCGATGCGGCCTTCAGAATACCCAACCGCATCAACGAAACCAGTCACCAAAGATGAGCGTTTGTTTCTTCGCCTTGAAAATGAAAACCCTTGGAGAACCCTATCATCATTTAGTTTTAGAGAGGCTGTGGCGCAAATGCTCGAAATCCTCCAAACCAATATTGAGCATGTATACCGTTTTCCAACTGGCTTCGCAATTAGTGTCACGGACTGGCCCTGTAATGTTGTGTAGCACCTGGCAAACCGTGTCATGAGTGTACTCAAATCACAGTTAATGCGTTGCGATAGTTACAGTGTTGCGATAGCAACAGTAACCACCCAAGATACCAGTTAGTTGCTATGACACGGATGTAGGCTATGGCATCACTGGTTATGGTGACTGCTCTCATGTACTTAAGGGAGCTCTGAGACTGTATTTGCAATGTAGCTTCTTGTCTTGTAATTTACTTACTCTCTTGGCCTCATCTTCGTCCGCGTCCTCGTCCTCGTCTTCATCTTAGTCCTTGTCCTACTCTCCGTCCTCGTCCTAGTCCACCGTCCGCGAGCCCTGACAATTAGAGCCGAAAATCAAGATCACGCGTCATAATGTTAGGCCTAGCTGGTGTTATGAATCTACTTATTGGCAGATTTTCGAAGCTGTTAAGCTGCAGAGGTCGAGTCCATTTCGACGAAGACAAATTATCGAAGGTCGAAGGTGCAAATGTCAAATGTGCGAAGGTATGAATGAAGGTAATTGAGGCTCGGATTATCAAAGTTACGAAGTCATATGTTCAGATTATCATATGATCAATATATCGAGTTCCCAATAAGCAAATTATACAATAAACGTAAAAGTAACAAAATTGTTAGAACTAGAGAACAAATTCAAATTTCCAGCCTAAACAAATCCAAATCCCGTAGCCTCAGACCTAACCGAATTAAGAAGATAACCCCTGCATCACCACATCCAGACTAAATATAACAAATTCATAACAGCTGGGTCCCTTTTCTAGCAAGATGTCATAATGGAAAAAGCCTCGGATCTGGGTTCACTTAGAATCGCAACAGTCACAGTTGCTGTTAATACAATAATGGGCAGAGTTATCGTCACAGAAGAGATGGTAACAGACGAGATAGTCAGGGTCACCAAGGCTGTCCCGGTAAAAGTTCGCCCACATGGGAAAAGCCGACTTGGAGCCCCATACCAGTCATGAGTAGTTCTTTTTGGAAAAGCATCAATCCCTCGAACAGGTTTCCGACTTTTCGACGACTCTGGGATTGCACTCCGCCACCAGCCTCGACAAAGCATCAACCAGTGCAAACGATGCCTACAATTCCACGACACCAGGGACTGCTCGCGCGCCTCAGCCTGGTGGAATTGCACTTCAACTATGAATTCCATCGCGGACTGCAAGGCACACACCAAGTATCGCAACTGCGGGAGTCCACACAGATCAGATTGTCGGGTCCGTCTAGATCGCCCTAAAGAGTCTAGAATGACCTCCAAGGAAAACCTTCAAATTGTGAGGCAGGATCGCCAACGCGAATTTGCGGCAGTTAATCGGGCCAAAGTAGCAGTCAGACACGCAGAGGCAGCGTTGACAGAAGCCGCAGAAGTTTCAATCGTAAATCAGCCAGGTTTCAAATCGAGCAATCGCTTTGAAGCTTAAATGTGCGAAGCCAGAATGATGTCAGAAGCAGCATGCAGTCAGCAGAGCAGTAACAAAAATCAAGGCAAATGTGCCAGGGAAGAATATGCTATCCTGCATTGTGCATGAGATAGGTGCACAACCACTCGGCCAAAAGGCCAGACCAGTGTCATAGAACACTAGTACTGGTTATGTTCAGATATATAGATTATACAGTAGGCATTCCTGACAAGTGTAACGGCTTTTGAGCCGATTGTGGTGTGGCACGTGATTTCATTCATGTGCCTCTATAACTCTACAGTAGTCTAGTATTATTTCAGATCAGTTCAGCCGTAACTGGAATATTCTAGTAATTGGTAGCAAGACTGGGAACTACTATGACTGGAATATACGAGAAGCAGATATCAGTCGAGAACGAGTATTCTAGAGATCTTCATAGATGTATAAATTGTTGAAGTAATACTCTGATGGTTAGCCATATAGAAAATTATGAACTACCTTCCAATTTCTGATTGCTCCAGCATCAACACTCGAACAGTGAAATCACCTATGTGTTGGATCATACCGAGCCTAACCGTCCAGAAACCCGCTGTCGACACGCCATGGCGCAAATTCCTCCTCGGCCTCGACCACCATGCGGCCGAGCCCTTGACATCCTCATTGACTCCGAAATATTAATGTAGTCCCAGATCTCATCGTTGCTCTAGTCTTGCACCTTCATATTGTACTGCTGGGCTACTGTCGTCATTAGGGATTTTTGTAATCCCCTCGATGTATATTCCCTTTTCTTCTTCCTTTCTACACGTCCCGTTTCCATTATGACTTTCCTCATTATCGCATGTGCAAGTAGTTGATCGGACGAGTATGGAGGTGGGTTGCAGGTGTGAGATCGGCTGAGAAATGCTTCGTCGAAAATATATGAGGAGTTTGAGATATTTCGGATGTTTAAATACGACACTTGGATAGACCGAGGCCTATTCATATTTCATGTGTTGGTGACGATGAGCTTTTGTTCGAGTTTCTTGCGGTTGTGAGATCTCTGTCGACTGATTTTTCGACCGAAATACCGAAATACCGAGTACAACTCCTTCAAGCCGGAAATCCTTCCAAAAAATTCATTCCATCCTTTTTCGTGACTGAATCTCGGCTCCTGGAGAATTTTCTATCCCAGGTTCGTAGGGGACACCACTGACAGGTGTTCAGCCTACGTCCTCCGCATTTTGTTGTGTTTATTGTGATACTTTAGTCTTAATCTATCTAATATATTGAGTTCCTCTCTGACCCAGGCCACACTTTGTACAGTGCTCCTTGCCTCTTATGTTACTTGCAAGATCATTGTTAGATTGCCCGTAATGAATAGCCATTTAACTCAGTATTTACCCATGGAATTCAGCTACCTTCTCCACGGAACCATCTACCCACCAAAAAAAGGAAGGTAGCAATGGAAACTGCGTGTGCGGGAAAAAGTCTCAAAAAACCTGCAGCCCCAGCCAGGTGAGGCCTAGGGATCGAGACCACATAAGGTGCGCTTATTTATCTATGTCTCCCTTCTTCGTAACGTTCGAGACCATCTTGATCCAATCCACCATCTCTGTGTCGGGTGCTGGGTGTACTCTAGAAACTCACCGGGAGACTTTTCCTCCATTATCAAATGTTAGTAACGAGAAGGGCTCTGACCCTTCCATCTGGTCTGATCCTGGTTAGCTTCATGATGGTGGTGATAGGGGGCTTATTGTTTATTGTTTATCTTGTCCTAAGCTAAAGCTATGGGTGATAGGGGGTTGTGCTCAGGAATGAAGACGTTACAGACGCCGAAAGCGAATGGGAATCCTAAATAAAGTGAAGACGAAGTTGTTACTCTTTCTCGGCTCTGCAGACTCCACAGTGGGAGGGCAAGACTGAACACCTGTACGCGGTGTCCTCTACGAACCTGGGAGTGAAATATTCTCCCAGAGCCAAGTTCAGTCAAATTTCGCAATATCAAAGAAGTTGGCCCACGAGGCAAAAATCAAAATTACTCCTCCACGTCGTTATTTCGCTCCTAACGAGTTTGACTCATATCTTCGTCTCATCGAGTCTACAAGTACGACCAAGTACATCCTCATTCCAATGACCACACCACTCTTCGACCTTCTCTGGCCTCAGCTGGTCACCAAATACACGCCCACGCCGATATTTATACCCGACGGAGGAAGCAAAGCGTGGCGCACAAATCTGGGAGACAGCTCTTTGCGATGGACGTGAGAGGAATCAGGACAAGTTTACAAGATGATGCGGAGGAAGGATATAACCTCGAAGGGCGTGAGATTCCGAATTTTGGCAAGGAGTTTTACGAATTGAGCTTTGTGCGCGCCAAGACTTCGCTTGCGAGAGTGCAGCTGACACTATAAAAACAAGCCGACGATGGAAGGTGTTGTGATCCGCCTCCTGGTGATGTTCTCTGGTATAGTTTGAGTAGCCTGGGCACCTACTCCACTTGGGAAGGAGACATCTCAGATTACATTTCGCGCGGAGAAAAGCTGATGGATGACGGAGGCATGTCTGGATAACTTAGGGTTTTTGAGATGTTCCCCTGGGTGGGTATTCGCGGATGAGGGTTGACTTGGGGTGAAGAAAAAGCCACCATAACTTCGCAGTGGTACCTGCAAATGAAATCCGAGGCATGAGTGCTCTTCCTTTACGTTGAATCATCTATTCTGTACTTTTCTTTGATATTGTGTCATAGCTAGATAGCTGCATACGCAATTAAAATCTGATGCAAAAAAAAAAAAAAAAAAGACTCCACAGTGAGAGTTGGAGGTTCGTAAGGGACACGACTAACAGGTGTTGAGAATAGTACCTCCTTGTCAGGGAGATTTACTACAAATGCAGGAAAGCTTTCTCGAGAGACCAATGCGTTGAGTATTCATTGATTCAAGCAGCACAAAAAACAACAAACATATGATGGGGAATTAATCACGGCTGTACAGGAATCCAAAATGATTGAAGAAAAAGTGCCGACAGGGCTGTTACAGTTGAGTTTACCACTGAACTATTAGTTTCATGAGCCACTCTAGCCCTACCTATTCTCGCCATACTTGCTGGATTCATGATCGTAGTAGCTAGGCATTAATTGTTATTATCCTTCAAAGAATACAAGGTTCCTTGGATCGTTGGAAAGCTGATGATAAACTAGATATACAATTTATGCGCAATAATCATGGCAGAAAAAGTTCTCGACGATATCTCTCACCGGCGATTCAACCCGCTACGGGGCACTTGGGTTCTTGTATCGCCTCATCGAACGAAGAGACCATGGCAGTAGGTCATTTCTAACCCTCTTAAAGATATAGGTGTTGACTTACGACAAGGGGTCAAAACGAAACTTTAAATAAGGAGATGCCACTGGATTATGACCCATCTGTACGCCGTCCCGAGCCTTTTAGAACCATTGGAAAGGATCCTGACTAGATCTGAAGTGCTACCTCTGTCCAGGGAATAAGCGGGCTCAGGGCGACATTAATCCGAAATATAATGAGACTTTTATGTTTTTGAATGACTATAGTGCTGTTAAGGAAGCACAGCCTATTTACCATCCTGAAGAAGACGAAGATGATAGCTCTTCTCTACTACTGCGTGCCGAAGGTGTCACTGGAAAATGCTTCGTCCTGGCTTTTTCACCGACTCACAGCCAAACTCTAGCTGACCTATCGCCCAAGCAGATTCTACCCGTAATCCAAAAATGGACTGAGGTCTACGCGGCACACTTAGACCCAAGCTCTCAGGCAAAACTTCCTTCCTTCTCATCGGGCAAGGCACCTGCTTCACAATATCGCTGGATGCAGATCTTTGAAAATAAGGGTGCGGTAATGGGCTGTTCAAACCCCCATCCCCATTGTCAAATTTGGACGACGAGTCATTTGCCAGAAGAGCCTGCTCAAGAAATTGCACAAATGCAAAAGTACAGAAATGAAAAGAACGGCTGCAACCTACTCGTCGATTACGTCGCGCTAGAGCTTAAAAAGGACGAGCGTGTTGTATTCCAAAACAAAAGTTTTGTTGTTCTGTGTCCTTGGTGGGCAACTTGGCCATTCGAGGTCATGATTGTTGCCAAACAACATAAACGCGCCCTAACAGATCTTGATGAACTTGAAAAGCTTGATTTTGCAGAGGCAATTGCCGAAGTTACTAGGCGATACGATAATCTCTTTCAAACTAAGTTCCCATACAGTAGGTCTCCCTTGTCTATTCATCGGCAACTGATCGGGCATAGGCTCGGGTATACATCAAGCCCCTCTCACGGGCACATATGAAGAAATCTCATGTTCTCAAATCCATATGCATTTTTACCCGCCACTACTCCGGAGTGCAACAGTTAAAAAGTTCCTGGTCGGCTACGAACTCATGGCTGAGCCTCAACGGGATATCACCCCTGAGCAGGCCACTAAAAAGCTTAGAGATGAATGTGGTGGTAAACTCTATCGAAAAGAATTGGAGTAATGGATAAACCCCAATTTAATTGAAGCGATAACGATGGAATTAGATATATTTTTGCTTGAATAAAAGGTACAAGGGTACAACAACAAGCGATGGCATCTCTTCTAATTGATGTAATAATCCCACTGCAGCAACATCCAAACTAGAGTCCCCGTACTCACAAGAACTGGTCCCGCTAGCCCAGTTCCCCATCGTGTAGTTCTAAAAATAAGCCACTCACTGACAAAATGCCCGAAGGCAACTGCAAATGTCCAAAAAGCTAATTGGTAAAAGGCACGCTCGGTAATGTGGTACGCGGCATAGAAGCGCACAAGCGATTGAATTAGAGTCCAGGTTCCGAATGTGCGTGCAGAGAGGTGTGTTACAGGCGAAATTGAAGCGGCTGGAATGGCGGAAAAATTAGATCTGCCACAATAAACACGTGCAGTGTAGGTTAATGTGCAGTAAGCTTGAATTGAATTGAAAATAGACACTAGGGATATCTATTGCATTGGGCTACTGTCAGAAATAAACGTATAGGATAGTGGGAATGCCACCTACAAAAAGAAGCCAGAGAGGTAGTAAACCGTCATCAAGAGGTGGGAGAAATCTGCTGAGACCTGACATTGAGAAATTTGGTGTTGGTGATTGGGCTCTGGACGTCTTACAATGACGTTGTAATTGGACGGGACGTTAGATAGAGTTGATGAAAAGCTAGCATTGAGTCCTAACCGAAAACGATCAGCATGCCGGTCTTCCTCATAGATACGGTCAAGTCCCCGGCAACGCTATCAATGCAAGTGAAGATATGGACACAGCAGACCTCAACCACATACTCCCACAACACACTTGAATATCTCGCAAAATAACCATTATCCGGTGCAATCTTCTACGCTGTTGCATCGTCATCACCAACGCCTTCAAACCTAGGATGGCAAATCCATCCAAGCCTGCTAGGTATTACGAGTGTAATGCAGAAAGCAGGACACGAAAGAAAAGAAAGAATTTGCCTCGCACAAGAGTTCCTAGAATTATTGACACCTGGGCTAAAACCAAGGCGGAAACAAACTCGTCGACAATCCGACGTCGTTCATGGCAAATATTGAGCCTATCGTGACTCAATTTGCAACAGGCTTAGCGGAGACCTATGAGACCACTAGTAAGGTCCTGAACCCCTTCTTAAACTCTTCAAAGCCGGTGGCACACAATGCAAAAAGCAAACCTATCACGAAGCGAGTGCTTTACCAGCAATGCCCTTGAATAACACAACGCAATGGGCCACAGTAGCTCAAAAATCATACAAGCTGCCCGATCCTCCTGTTACTCCATTACTAAGAAGACTTAGCGGACAAACAAATCAAATAACGAAACCAACTTCAAAGGTAGACAAACACCTTCTCGTGCGCTTGGAAGGAAAACATGAATGGCGTCGGCTCTCACCGATCACCATCAAGAAGATAATTACTGAAAGGGCAGGAGTTGCTCCGTCAGCTGTCATAGCCATATACCTGGCTCGATTGGGTGTCTCATTTGGGTGTGCATTTGGTGCTCTCAGGGAAACCATCCTAAATGTAGGACCATCCTTCCAACAAGATAACGTTATCATTGAGGCTGCATCGGAATAGATATCAGTGCTATTACCACACTTACCGCTCCATATCCGGACTTTGGAAGGTAGTATAACGGTCAACAATGAGATGTTGTTGAGCGAATGCCAATCTATTTGTGGCGCGGCTCCAATTCTGGTACGCCCATCATCAAAGAAATGGGGCGATACGCAATGATTTGGTTAGTACGCCTCCGCCAGAAACCATCGAACCTTAAGCTCATACTTTTCGAAGAAAGCGGACCGGCAATGCCTTTTACGCGTCAACCCCCAATCGAGCAGTGTCAGCATTGCTAGGGTTTTCACCCAACGTGAATTTGCACAAAAAGCCAACGTTGTGGACGCTGCGCGGGTGTGCTTGAGACTTCAGATTGCCAGGTGAATACTCCGAAATGTTCTAACTGTGCAGGTCCATACGACTCGTACGAGATCAAGTGCATGGCTCGGCCCAGACGACAATATAGAATAATTGTACCTCGCACAACAGCTGAGCTATGGACAATCCGCGAGTGCGGACATCGTGACTTTAATGCTGCACGGGCATATTCAGAAAGTAATGGCAAGACTGTAGAAGTCACCTGTCCCCCAGAAAATCTATGCAAGGTTAATGTTAGATAACTCAATCTTTAACGCACCCAAAGATAAAAAAAGCACTTTTCTATTTCGCCAAGTGAACTTAAAAAAGGGTGGAGAAAATATGGACATAGCCTTGCAACAAGCATTGGAGGCAGGGGCTCACGTTGTAATGGTTCAAGAACCATGTACGATGGAAAAAGAGGGAAGCTTTACCACTAAAGAACACACTGGCTTTGATAGCCTTGGCCCAATCGGCGAGAGACAAGTTCAGCCTCGGGCATTTACAATCACCCGCAAAGGCCTACGCAACTTTCAAATGAGCCATCCGCATGTCAAATAGTTAACTGCTGCTTGTTACGAGTTCCTGGGGTAACATTTGCAAATATATAACGAGCGCCAGGCCCAAGTGGCACTATAGACCCGCTAATACTGTGGAAGCCAACAGGATCTACAGTGGTTGGAGGAGATTTCAACTCAGTATCAAGGCACTGGCAACCGTAAACTTTACGTCAGTATGGCAATGGTGACAAGATAATGGAGTGAGCTACAGCTCACGACATGCATCTAGCAACTAGAGCCGGAGTTGCAACATATTGGAGCGGAAATATACTCGATCTAGTGTGGAGTGACATCCCAGTAATAGCATCGGTGTCAGTGGAAATAAATTTTAGTTCCGATCATATGACCATTGTAGGATCCACTCAGACAACTAGAAGATCTCCCATTTTAGTAGCTCGCAAAAAGTACTTGTAAGCGACCAAAGCCTTGGGAAATTCTCCCAATATGTCAAAACTTGGATGAAACCAGGACCGTTAAACTGTATCACAGACATAGAGGTCCAAACTTCTGCATCCTTAGAGGTACCGGATAACGCTCGCAAAGCAGTAGGGCGCAAGACACTGATAGCCCGAGTACAGAGATTCTAAAGGCTCTCCAATTCTAGAAGACCAAGCACGCCAAAATTTCAGAGCTACTGTCAAAGTAGCTAAAAGAGAATACTGGAGGTAGAGATTTGAAATTACCACCACAGATGCACAGGTATCTAAACTGATGCAATGGGCCAAGCCTAAGTCGTGTCAGAAGCCCCCTCCACTAAGGGTTTCAGAAGATAAGTGCCACTCCGACCCATTCGAGAGGGTGGATAGCTTGAGGGATACTTTGATGGCTCGATTTGACGCAGATCAAGATCTCTCCGCGTGGTAGTTGGACCAACCGGAGCTGATCCCTCGGGAGAATGCAATATCATTACTGGATGCTACAGAATACACTGTTGGCGGTGGAAACATGGCCCCAGGAACAGATAAAATAACTATGAGAATGCTTAAGGCATGCTGGACAGTAATTTTAATGCATGTGAGAAACATATTCCAAGCGCGTCTAGATCATGGACACTTTCCAATAGTGTTTCGAGCCGCAGAAGTAGTCCTGCTTTCAAAGCCAGGACGAGATCTATCCACTTCTAAGGGGTGGCGACTTATCTCTCTTATTTCTTGCCTAGTTAAAGTATTAGAACGCATCGTAGCCAAAAGAATGGCGTGGTCAGTCATCGAGCACCAAGTAGTTCCCCAACAACTTTTTGGTGGACTTCCTGGACGTTCAGCTGTCGATCTTTTTCCTGCGTCATTCAGGACGCAGAGGCAACAATGAGGAATAACAAAGTCACAGCTATGCTAACGATGGATGTGCAAGGAGCCTTTGATGCGGTACTTCACAAGCGAATATTGCCTAGAATGCGGGACCAGGGATAGCCGAAGATTCTATGTCGATTTGTTGAGTCATTTCTGACCCGGCGTAGAATTCGTGTTCGTCATCAGGATGGAATAATGGGCGACAAAATTGTCGAGTGCGGTATCCCCCAGGGATCACCACTTTCACCTCTCCTTTTCCTCCTTGACTTTGCCATTCTATTCCAAAACGGGAAAGGGAAAATATTCGCATATGCTGACTATATCGCCATACTCAGCATAGGACGCACTACCGCCGAAGCTGTCTTATCGGTCCAGGGGTAACTAGAAAGACTCCCCAACTGGCAGAAGAGCACAAGATCAACTTTAACTCAGCAAAGTCAGAGCACTTAATAATATGTGGTGGGCCAAGGAAAGAATTGGATACTTCAGTCCTCATAGTTCAGGTGAAAGGCCTCAATATCTCCCCATCCCCACATGGGAGATGGCTTGGGGTATGGCTCGATTCCCAGTTTAAATTTAGGCAGCACGTGCTAGAGTGGTGTGGAAAATCACAACGTGTAACACTGTTTATACGTCGGATTAATACTGTATAGCGTGGTCTAGTACCGGGACATATGATTAAAGCTGTCCACGCCTGTGTCCTCAGTACGGCACTGTATGGAGCAGAGGCATGGTGGCCATGCGTAGCCCGTATTACCACTCGGCGAGACAAAGGAGTTAGCACTGACTTTGGCTGGCATACTGGTCTGCTGGACAAAACAACCGTCAGGGCAGTTATAGCAGCACTACCTGCGCTGCGTACAACCCCAAATTCGGCTCTTCGAAGAGAGTTAGGAATCCCACCAACAGTAATCCTTCTGAGCCAGAGGCAACTTCTATCAGCAGCGCGTATTCGAAGACTAGACGTATCAGGAACTGAGGATAGAGTAGCACCCCTGTATTCTTTCACTACACAGTCTGCGAATATTTACTCACATAAGAATGGTTACTAGGTTACAATGGTTGCCATGGGTTACGAATTGAGTAATTGAGAAGTAGAAGGTGTACCCTATGAGGCCTAGGTTGCTCTGGTTACTATGATGTATATATCAATTGGATAGAACCGCTGTGGAGGGCCAAAAACTGTCTTCCGTCTTCCACTAGCCTTGTCTCCTGTCCCAGTTTCCCCCACCCCTCGCCCTTAGCTAACGTTATTGTTACGAATTCATACCTTTGACTCTTGCCAACCTCCTCAGATTTTCCTCAAGTCACTCAGTAACCCTCCCAACGCTACCTTTGGCACACTCTAGCACTGAGTTCTAGGGAATTACCAAAAGATATTTTAAGGCGCCTTGAATTACAAGCAGGTCAGAAAGCCCGACCTATTTCTGCTCTAGAGCGTTATCTGACACGACTCCTGAATAATGCTCTAAATATGCCGATCGCTGAAGGTCCCTGGAAACTTCCATACACGAAAACCAATCCGGCCGGGATCCCACAAAGTCTTGACAGGAAAAATAAATCGGATTATGCAAAGGCATGGATTCAAAATCTCTCGCCGGAGACTATATGTGCCTACTCCGATGGTTCATCAAGCTGCCCAGCTAGATCTGCATGGGGATACGCTGTCTACAAAGGAAATAGGCTGATAGGAAGCGATGCTGGTATAATTCTAAGAGCAGAAGTGTACGACGCATATCTTTTAGACCAAGAAAGCCTTGGAAGCAGCTGTAATATTGGCAGAAGAGTGTCCCATCAAGATACTCCTCGATAACTAT